TTCCTATATACTAGCATTTAAATTTGCATATATTATATCTCGAATACGAATGACAAAGACAGCAGACGCCATTCGCTCGTGCATTTGCTTACAACACTATCGTGTTTTAGGTTATCTATCAACGTACTCGTCGAAAATCCAAAGAAATTCGAAGAGTTTACAAATATTTATCGTACAAACAAATAAATATTCAACATTTAATCATTCCTCGAACTACAACAGACCGGAATTTCAAATTTGGTAAGAAAAATCAATTCCTACATTATTATTATCACTTATAGGTTACCCATACCCTTCAAATTGCAAGATATACAAAAATATCTAATCGTTGACTGAAAAAACCCTAACCAATGTTATAATATTACAGAAATTGAATGCAGAGAATTGTTTCTTTAGAAAAAATGGAATCTGATTACGAGGAAGATCGTGGGACGTGGACAGAAGAGATGGGGAAGGCAGAGGACTGCGGGGCAGAGGACAGTTTAGAGAATCCTCAAGAAATATTAAACGAATGCTTAGACAAATTCAAAACGCCTGATTATATCATGGAACCAGGAATATTTACACAACTCAAAAGGTATAAAACATCCAAAACCATTCCTGAATATCCATAATACCTACGCTTCTCTTTATTCAGATATTTCCAAGCTGGTGGAAATCCGGAACAGGTGATAGAGTTGTTGTCAAAGAATTATACAGCCTGTGCTCAGATGGCAAACCTTCTTGCCGAATGGCTGATCCTTGCCGGAGTGAAAGTCACAGACGTGCAAGCAATGGTGGAGAACAATTTAAAGGATATGATATTAAAGACGTTCGATCCGAAGAAGGCAGATAAAATCTTTACAGAGGAAGGAGAGGTACGTTTCTCATATATAAGCTCTCCTTTGCTGTGCAGGTATAATTAAAAATATTTCAGACTCCTGCATGGTTGACGGAAATGATTCAACACCCCACGTGGAGGTCACTAATTTACAGACTAGCAGAAGAGTACCCAGACTGCCTCATGTTGAACTTTACTATAAAAGTAATTAATTTAATAATAAGAATCTAATTTATGCAGCTTTTGTTCAATTTTCAAGACTCAATCTTTTCTAGTTAATATCCGACGCTGGTTTCCAAGGCGAGATTACAAGCATTTCGACAGCAGCGCAACAGATTGAAGTATTCTCAAGAGTATTAAAAACTGCAATCGCTGGATTTTTGCAGAACACAGAAAACTGGCAGTCGAGTATACAAGAGTGTGCAGTTAGTATCTCGTACCATTTACACATGAATTCTCGATATAGAATCTAAATTATATATCTGTGTTTCTAGAAAATGGTGTGCCATGGGCAGCACACTTACGTCTACAGTCAAGTGTTGCTACAGATTCTTGCACAAGAACCACGCGGAGGATTCATGATGAAAAGGCTGTCTCAGGAAATCACGAAATGCGCTCAACAAAAGTAAGAGACTCGATATTCTAATAAATTTGTACATAAGAAAGTCTATAAAACGTTCGTTTCAGTCACCACGACGTTACGCCGATAACTATGGCACTCAACGGAGCGTCTGGCAGTCCAAGCGCATGCCAAGCACTGGTATCAATGCTCTCGCGAAACGCTTTGAACCCAGCAGACATCAGCGTGCTGTTCCGAAATTATTCCACAGCGGAACCACCGCCTATAGAACTAATTCGTAACCCGCAGTTCCTGGAGCTACTAGTCGACGCACTGTTCAAACCGGGAGTGAAAATCAATCCCGAGCATAAATCAAAGTACATATATTTATTAGCATACGCAGCCAGCGTTTGTGACATCCCTGCTAAAAAGGGGCACGCGAGGAAACTGAATAAAGACGAATTGAAAACGACTATCCAAGCTATAGAGAAGGTTCACAGTATTTGTAATATTAATAAAGGGTCTACGGAGTTAATAGCAGAACTGCAGACTTTGTATCAATGCATAAGGTACGTTTGCATAAATAATATGCGATAGTTCGTTTTATTTATTATATAGGATTCTATCGATTAACGATTTTCTTCAGATTCCCTGTTGTAAGCGTGGGTGTGATCAGGTGGGTCGAGTGTACCGTCACCGAGGCATCGTATTTTAAATTATGCACCGAACACTGTCCTTTACATTTAGCATTACTTGATGAGGTGGTAGTTTGCCACGCTTTGTTGCACTCTAAAGTGCTGCAGCTCCTCGTGCGATTGTTCGAAAGTAAACAAGACGAATTGGAGATACTAGTACAGGTAAGGATATCACAAATTTAAATAATGTAAGAACTATTCATGTAATTATTTACGTTTCACAGTTGGAAATGAAGAAAATGTTGATCGATAGAATGGTGAATTTACTGAGCAGAGGCTGCGTGGTGCCTGTCGTCTGTTATATAAAACAGTGTTGGCAACGCGGAGACACGGACGTGTCGTTAATTAGGTATTTTGTTACAGAGGTACGATTATACAAAAACGAATGAATGAATGAATATAGGAATTCGGATTTTGCATTCTTAAATGGTTGCAGGTTTTGGAAGCGATAGCTCCACCATACACAGCAGAATTTATTCAATTGTTCCTGCCTATGGTGGAGGACGAAGAAATTACAGGAACTATGCGCGGTGATGGGGACAATGATCTTGTTTCGGAATTCATAGGTGAGGTTTTCTAAAACATTTTAAATAAATATTAACGTTAATATTTACTGCGTATTTTTTTCTAGTACATTGCAAAGCGCATTGCCCGACGATAAGATGATCATTGAAGAATTAAGGAACTTGGATGGAATCAAGAAAAATAGGTCCAGATAGTACAACATGTTTTTACTTTATCTGTGAATATCGGACTGATATATATGAACTACTGTTTCATTCAACATCTTATTTGGTGTTTAGTGGGCACGTGTGCAATTGTATATACCGAGAGCACGATCATTTCCTCCATCGATTTGTGATAACATAATTTACGTCTTCTCTGTAACAAAAACAATCGAGATCGTCAATCGTTTGAACGAATCATTGGACTTGTCACAGGGTTAGATGTACTCAACAATAAAACGATTAATGACTGAGAAATTTGTTATTTCAACTCCAAAACCTTTAAAGTGAGTTTCCATGCAGCGAATAGAAATTTGTAAAACGAATTAGCTGCATTTACTTGAAAAATAATCAATCGCTGCACGATTTTTCACGTTTAAGCATGCATGGGAATTATCAAACGACACTCTGTAGAAAACTAACCTAACTAATTTCTATAACTTACAACTTGAAACGAATACCTATAGCCTTTCAGCTGTAAGAGAAATAAAGAATGAATCCCACCCGAAATAAATACGCGACACGACGAAATTATACAATGAAATAGAACAGAATTGGAAATTAATGAATAATAATAATAATAGAAAAGTACATACTTGCAGGTCTACCGTCCTTCCACTGCGTGATTTTCACGCTCACCTCGTCGCGTTTCCCAGCCTCTGTTCTTAAATCTGCCTTAAGAGCCTGTCTGACGACTCGGGCAGCTATTTGAGAGTAATTGATATAACTGAAATTCGAACAAAAATTACATAACATTGGCGATTCGACATCGCGAGAAGGAATCGTCGGTGAATACTCACTTTAAACCGGCTTGCCTCCACGCAGACATTCTTATTGATGGGTTTGTTTAAACTTGTTTAATCGTAACGGAACTTTGGAAATAATACGTGACACCTTGCGTTTGAACGAACCTCGAATATGCACAGAAATCACCTGACTGACGTACAATCGTTCGCACGCCGAAAAAACAAATGGCCGACGCTCAGCGGAGTGGGGGGTCACGTGACACGCGCGCAGATTCAATTCGTTTTTGTTCCTAAAAGTTGACAACACTGCTCGCGATATAGAGGGCCTATCGATCGACCGCCCGATACTATAGATATCTCACTTGCTCAGAGGGACGGAGGGACGTCCTATGATCATTCCCATCCCGCTTGACACAGTTTTTTCATTTTTTATTAAACCCTTCTGAGTCGTGCGGTGAGTTTCATTCGTTACAATAAATAATGATTAAAATACTTAATTAAACGGGTATGTGAGAAACCGACGATGTTATAAAAAAAAGAGTGAACTGTAAGCACAAGTTGGTGTCCATTGCGATTATGTAAAGCAGACAATATTCTGTGATTTAACAAATTATTCCACGTTTATTTATGTTCCCATCGTGAATTTTTTTAATATAACTTCACTTTTTATCTCATCTCTCTGACTTTTGACTGTCTCAAGTCGCGTCTCTGTCATACAAACGATATCGAAAAATTGAAAAGACAGCTGAACTCGTTTCGAACACTACAATAATTATTATGAATTTAACGAAACGGTTCACTGACAAACATAATTATTAGCTTTAAGTTTAATGAAAATAGGATTAGAGATGAAATTCATCTCTTCTTATATTAAGTTTATGATTTATTAATATAAGTCTTATGTAATTTATCGTTTTATTTTTCAAACCTTGAACGACCTCGCTGGTAAGTTCGATTCAAGTTCAACAAACAATGCTAGCCATGCTGTAATTCATATTTTAATATAGCAATTTGATTTGATTTTAATTTTCCTAAGTTGTAAGTTTTACAAAAACGGTAGGAGTAATTTATAAGTATTAAGTATTCGAAGCGTCTGGTAGAAGTATTATAATAGGTATTAGAAATGAGAAGCAGTTTTTGATATATGAATTCTATTTCCAGGGACTGAACCGAAAATGTTTTCGAATCGCATGACCGCAATCGTGCGGCTGGCTGCACAGCAGCAGCAGCAGCAGCAGCAACAACAGCAACGAGGCATGGCGACTTTGAAGGCGATTTCTATAAGATTGAAATCAGTGAAGAACATTCAAAAGATCACCCAGTCTATGAAGATGGTGTCTGCGGCGAAATACAACAGAGCTGAGAGGGATTTGAAGCAAGCGAGACCACTCGGAGTCGGTTCAAAGCAGTTTTACGAACAGGCGGAAATCCAAGCACCGCCAGAAATGGAAAAGAAACTCGTAGTCGCTATTACGAGCGATCGTGGTTTATGCGGAGCCGTGCACACGGGAGTTTCCCGTAACATCAGAGATGCACTTTTAGCTGATCCGAAGGAGCGCGAGAATACAAAGATTATATGCGTCGGGGAGAAATCGCGAGCGATATTGTCACGTTTGTTCGCTGGTAATATATTATTCGTCGCTTCTGAGGTCGGCCGCAAGCCGCCGACGTTCAACGACGCTGCCAAAGTGGCGATCGAAATCATGAACAGCGAGTACGTTCATCAAACTTAAGACCTCTTGTATTAAACGATTGTTTAATGAATCAAATATTTGCAGGTACGCTTATGGTTCTGGCCGCATCGTGTACAACCGATTTAAGTCCGTGGTATCGTACGCCGTGGACCAGCTGCCTCTGTTCGACAAGAACGCAGTTGTCACTGCCCCTAAAATATCGATTTACGACTCGCTGGACGAGAACGTGATTCAGAGCTACTTAGAATTCTCCTTGGCGTCTTTGTTGTTCTATTCGATGAAGGAAGGAGCCTGCAGCGAGCAGTCGAGTCGCATGACTGCTATGGACAATGCCAGCAAGAATGCGGGAGAGATGATAGATAAACTGACTTTGACTTTCAATCGCACTCGACAGGCTGTAATTACTAGGGAACTGATTGAAATTATCTCCGGTGCCGCTGCTTTGGATTAAAGAGCGAGGGAACCAGCAGCATAGTGTTGCGACGTAGATTTAAAATTGGCTACCTTGCGATCAGGCACTCGAGTCCAGCAATATTTATGAAACGTGGAAATAAACTTGTTAACAAACACATTTTGTTGCAATTGTGATTAAAACTGCCAAATAAAATCCATCGATTCTGTTGATTTTTTGTACAACCTATTATTATAATAAAATGATATTCGTTTTATTCTGTATCTGTTCTGTGCATTCTTGTTTTCTCTATCCTTCTCGCACGGTATTCCTCTCTTTCTCTATCTGTAGCTTGCCAGGTGGCGGCATTCGTACTAGGATTAAACGTGGTTAAGCATCGAGCACGTGTACCTCAGAACGTCACAATAAACATTATGGAAAAACATAGAAAACCTAACGTTATTCTCGAAGAACACGGCGTTCCCAATGTAAGTTATTTTAATTCCAATACATCTCTGAATAAAGATTTACTATTTATGTATTTCCTCAGGCGTCTGAATACACGAATTATGAACCTGATCGTGACTGGAACCTGCAGAATTTTCGAAAAGTAATTGGAGTTCAAACATTTCCTACTTGAAATACAAACGATTTTTCTTATACTCGATTATTTGCAGATATTTAAGATTCAGGTTATCAGGGAATCCGAAGACGAACGAGAGTTGGAATTTGACCTGATAGGATACCCGCTTAGTTTTGTTAATGCCTTTCGTAGAGTGCTTTTGAGCGAAGTCCCAAGCATGGCTATAGAGAAAGTTTATATTATAAATAACACGAGTTTGATTCAAGATGAAGTCTTGGCTCACAGGTAAAGTTATCAAAAATTCTTGCTAGTATTTCATTTTTATAATATGATGTTGTTGATAAAGGCTGGGATTGATACCACTTCGAGCTGACCCACGATTATTCGAATATCCCTCTTCGGGTACCAAGGACGAGGACGAGGTCAGCGATCAGGATACTTTGAGGTACGAACTGAAAGTGTCCTGCACTTGGGATCACCAAGCTCCAAAGGATTCAAGGAGGACGACAGACATGTACAAAAATAGCAATGGTATGAACGAGTATTTAAATAATTAAAGAGAATTTAACGAGGAATCATTTGTCTTTTAGTATATAGCAAAGATATTAAATGGGTTCCTATTGGACGTCAAGCTGAAATCTATTCTCGAGGTGCCGAGGACTTAGGAGTGTTGGAAGACGATATTTTATTATGCAAAATGCGTCCTGGTCAGGAGATTCATGCTTTCATGCATGCAGTCAAGGGGATTGGAAAGGATCACGCTAAATTCTCCCCAGTAGGCAAGTCTACATTATAAAAATCGAAGTTGGAATAAAAATTACACTTAAGGGCAGCAAGAAATCATTTTGAAGCTCTGTTATCCTCCCTAATTTCGTTTATTCTTTACTTTAGCTACTGCGTCCTACAGACTTCTGCCACAGATAGAATTACTGAGGCCAGTCAGAGGAGAAATGGCAGAGCGATTGAAGAATTGTTTCAGCCCCGGAGTAATTGAGATAGTCGAGAGCAGATCAGGCGATCCTAATTCTAGAGAAGCAAGAGTGAAGAACGCCCGTTACGACAGTTGTTCAAGGAACGTGTATCAACACGAGGACCTCAAAAACTGCGTACGATTAAGCAGAGTACGAAATCACACTATTTGTAAGTATCCAGAATATTCATAAGGTAAAGGACGTAGTACCTGGACACTTTTGAACATTTACCTCACTTATTTTTAACATCATTTTGTATAAAAAACATGTCTTATTTTACAGTTACGATTGAATCAGTAGGAACCTTGCCGCCGTCTGTGTTATTCGTCGAAGCAGTTAAAATACTGAAAGGGAAATGTAAAACATTTTTAGAAGAGCTCGATAATATAGGAAAATAAACTAAAGATATGAAACCATCTCCTCATTGTTATTATAACCTGTCCCAGTAGATAAAAATGTCAGTTGCATTGGTAGATAAAATATTTGTATGAATAATGAAACGTAGAGGTTATCTTATTTCCACGTGACTGAAACAGTCGCTGTTCTCCATTATATCTTATCGATAAAGTAATAAACGAGAATAAATACGAGTTTTAATCCGATTCTAACGAGCGTCAGGTAGCTCCGTGTCACTTGCACGTTTCGTTGCCATGTGGCATAACGAATTTCTCTCGGCTGTTTGTTACATCACAGAGAAACCTCTTCCAGCAGCAGATTGAAGAAGCGTGGCTTTTACGTCTTCCATTCGAATACAATGGGGCCGGGATTCTTCCGATGGAAATTGATCGGCTTGATAATATTAGCGCTACTGTTATGGCAGGCGACGAAAGTGTTGATGAACATCGCGCAGGAGAAATCTGCGATCAAAGGTAAAAAAACGACACGTTCGCGAATAAAAATCACGTTTGATTAAATTCTTCTACCGTCGGGAGTAAAAACGTTTTCATTTTCTTGCGATCGTGTCATTTTCTTGATTCGCTCGGATATCTGCTAAGCTTTGTATAGCGCAGCTTCAGGACGTCCAGCTGGTAACGATAAATCAGGAGGCTGAACGGAGACAGCAGAGGGTCCACGTAGCTGTTTACTATGAAGCACTCTGTCCGGATTCCCGTAGCTTTTTTATCAAACAATTACTACCGACGTACCACAGAATCCCAGAGAATATCCAAGTGGAGTTGATACCATATGGCAAAGCTATGGTAAGAAGTTTCGTCAAACCAACGATTGATCATTCCTCTATAATGATTTTGTTAATCGTTTGCAGACGAGAAAGACTGACGACGGTTACAGATTCACCTGCCAGCATGGACCGGTTGAATGCGACGCCAATATGATTCATGCATGTTCCATAGACGTTCTAAGGAATTCCTCTGTTCAATTAGAATACTTGTCTTGCATGATTAAAAATAACTTGGACCCGGTGGATATTATGAAAAGCTGTGCCAGCAGGATGAATATAGACTACAACTCTATTTATGATTGTTTCGTGGGAGATAAGGGCAAGGAACTTTTAGCGAAATACGGAGACAAGACGCACGCTCTCGTACCGGCTGTTTCTTTTATACCAACCGTAACGTTAGACGGGGTAAGCATTCATTCTTATTAACAGATCCCAAGTAACGATGAACTGAAATTGAACATTGATTTACAGAGCTCGAAGAACCAAGCGAAGATACTGAAGAATCTACTCCAAGAGGTGTGCCTACAATTCCAGAAAGTAATCCCTGAAGGCTGCATATCGTAAAAGAGCATTAAAACTGCGTTTTCTATGAATGACGAATTCTGTGGGATGAACGAATTCTTGTTACAGTAAGAGGAAAGTAAGAGAAAGTGCTCTGGATATTCAATTATTTGTCCTAATTTTATACGAACGTTAACAGAATCTGATGTATTTTATTTGATGTATTTTGGCGTGAAATAATAATTCTATGAAACGTTGAGGATGTTTGATTGCCGTTTAAAAAAAAAAACAGAAATCAAAATAGTCGAGCCGGCTCCTTAATATATGGGAACAATTTATTAACTTAATATATCAACACTTTATACAAACTGTGTCGCTCGGTGAAACTTGCGATAAGTGAAACACGCCGTTGATACGGCGGAGGATATCTCTCACATGTACAATTGAAACAATGGATAATAAATGTACATATTTGAAAAATATACAGGAGAAAGAAAAAACGAGAATTGAAGATCCCTCATAGCCGAATGAACAATTACATTTATTGGAATTACTTCTCAAAGGTAAACATCAAAAATAAATAACGTACTTGATTTTTATTTTATTACTGTTTTTTTTTTCACGACGGAGATTTATAAATATCGCACTTTTAATACTTTTTATCTTGGTTTAAGGAAAGAGCGTGGCTCGAATAGAATTTTGACTATTTTTTATTATTATTATTCTGCGGAGGGGACGAACGTCTCGAGAAATTCAAGGAGGAGGAATTAACGAAATTACACGCGACCGAGATATCTGAAATCTACGAATTTAAGTCTCGAGATACAATACTGATTTCTGATAGTTTTTAACTTAATATCGGCGCTCGCTGAGAAGAACTTTAAAATTATATAGTTTAGACAATCTCTCTCTCTCGCGCTTTCTTCCTTTCTCTCTCTCTCTCTCTCTCGCTCTCTTGCGACACGAATATAAAATTAATATTAAATATTGGAATATGTTCTTTTTAACTTAGACTTAAATACTAACTTTTCAATGAGTCGATGAAACGAGTAATAATAATAATAATCTTTCTTCAAGCATTTAAATAGGGGTATGTACTTCGAGTAGATTCTATATATCACCATTTACAAAAGGACATTCTGTCGCGCGGTTCCTCTTGACATTTTTACAAAGTCTGAACAAACTTCGTCGTAAAACTGCTAAATTTCAACTGTTGTTTTTATGTTCACAATAACGATAACAGTTATCAGAACAATTAAAATAGTTTTGAAGAGACGTGTTCTATTTTTTTTGTTCATTTTTTTATATCCTCTGCGATTCGTTTGTATCTCTATTAGAGGGGGGAGGTAGGGAGGAAGGGCATCCGAATCGATGAAACTTCGTTAGATATGTTAACGCGAATATATTCGTCGTTCGGGCAAACTAGATGCCATCGAGAAATGATTGATGAAGATAGAAACGACGACGACGAGGACGACGAAGACGACGACGACGACGACGACGACGACGACGGTTGAAAGAATGAGAGGTTCCATTGGTTAATGAAGGAAACTAATTGAGTAGTTGTGACCTAAAAATGAGGATACATTTATTTTGTCTTTTTATGATCAATGCGATCTAGGTCACCAGAAATACAAGTACTTCTCATTTTGTTCACTTCAATATTAAATAATAAAGGACTGTGGAGGAATTCTTTCTTCTTCTCTTCCATTTTTTTTTTTTTGTTTCTCTCGTAAATTAGTTTCTTCATATATATATATATATATGAATATATATATATGTATATATAATATATATTACATATATATTATGACCGAACCACCGTGTGCTCGCACCGTTCGGTGTCTCTTCTTTTACTCTTAGTTCTTAAGTAACATTATCGTACGAATCGCACAAAATCACACGAGTTTCTCCGATTTTCTAGTTGCTCCGCTCGCGAGACGCACCCCTGGGCGAAGGAAAATATAATACACCGATCACTGAATCTTTTGTGTTTCATGGTATGTTTTTTTTTTCTCTCTCTCTCAAATATTCATCCCTCATCCCTACGTCTCTGTGTCTCCCCGTTGATTTTTCATATTGTATTTCAACAAAAGTGGTGTCGACGTTGTGTAAACGCGCACGCGTTCTCTTTTTTTTAAGGCTTTCTCAGTGGAGATAAGATACAAACGGGATAATGAAAATTGGATACAGAACGCACTTGGTGAAATATGTCTTCGTGTACGTGTGTATTATGTGTCGGTATGTATTATTACGTATCGTACATCTTCTCGAAAGCGTCGCAAGGATTCGAAAAACTAATTTCAAAACCGTCTCTCCATCGACGCTTTCCCGTATTAAATAAAGGGGGATCCCGGGTTCACAGAGCGATCGATAAGCCAGCATTCCGAGCATTGGAAGATCGTGGCTAGAGTCTTCTTTGGTAAAAATTAAAAAACGACACAGTTTAACAGGTGTAAAAACAGATGGATGTACATTACTGATCGAATTTCCTCGCTATAACAAATGCTACGTATCGATGTACATTAAAAACACACGAGACGAATCGATCTCCTGATCAGCCGACGAACCACTATCGAAAATTCTATCCTTTAAATACTAACCCCCCCATCCCTAACTCC